ATTCTGCGAATGGTTCTCGCACATGCCTAGTATACCACTCTGTCGTATATCGTCAAATCCAACACATCTTTGCTACGAAACATGTCACATATGTCCACTGTAAGCCTACAAACCCATGTAATTGTGCCGGTTGCCAATTGTAGTGTTCTACAAGCTCTCCTTTGCAGCTCCAATCTACCCACCTCGTCTGTTCCTCCCTCCTACTCAGCAGTGACTACATGGCCCCTAATGCCTTGCAAGACCACAGGGATTATGGAGGTGCAGATTACTCACAAAGTCATGGTGTCTGGTGCTCCCCGACGAGGACTTTGAGCTGGCCCAAGAGGGCTGCCACCCGAGCCCACCCTATGGTGGACGTGATTGTCGCTAGACACTCCGCCTTTTGACACAGAGCCCTCGGTAGCGTCTTGTCTTCACCATTCCGACAATTTCCGGGAGAGTACGCCATACCATTCAGCCAACAACGCTGTCCGAGTCCAGTAGGGAGCTGGAAGAGCGGGAATGCCCAGAAGTTGGTGACGTCGAGTTGGCGCAACTTCAATACAATACCGTGCCCTGCGCGTCGTAATCCTGAGCCAGAATACGCAAGAATGAAGTGGTTACATTAAGCTGTCGAGGAGATATCGTCGTCCGAAGTTCCTTTGGGGGCGCTTAGGAGGGGAAAACAGGCAAATGCGTGAGATGCGGCGCGGCGCTCTCACGACAAGCGAGCTGAAACCGGCTGTAAGGGCGCGCGTTAAGCGGGTTATCAGCCTCTTCCTTGATCTGAACGGGCGCCTGTGTGTTCCTCTCTCGACCGCGACTGCTCGACGCTGTCCCAATATCTGCTTCATTCCATCTCCGACCCCAGTCTCCCCTCCTGAACGACTTGAAAAATGGCTAGCAGACGTGGAAGCCAGACGGTCCAGCTCCCTTCGGGCCAGACCCTCACGACTTTCACGAAATCCAGCACCGACGATGAAGGACTCCCTCACGCAACCAAGAAGTACGTCCGCTCAGAGACATCCAGACCGAGGACTCGCGTCCAATCGATGTCCATTGCAGAACCATGGCGGATCACCTCCGTAAATTTGAGGCCTTGTGCGTCTTCCCTCTTGACACACTAGCGTCCCAAATGCTCATTTACAGCGCGCATCCAGGTTCAACTTGACCCCACAGCGGATGCGTATGATCGTCGAGGCGTTCAGGGAGTCTTTGGAGCTCGGCCTTTCGAAGAATGGGCAGATTGTTGTGAGTATTCTGTCAGAACGTCTGGTGAAGTGAAGACCCACGATTTCGGTCGAACGGGTGGTAGCCTATGATCCCGACGTACGTTTTCGGATGGCCCAAAGGTGACGAGACAGGAAACTTCCTTGCGGTTGATCTTGGTGAGTCTGTTTTCTCAATTCTGTACATCACATTCCTTCTCCGAACTCGCTCAGGCAGCATCGAGGGGTCAATGCTGCTGCGTTTGTGCAATCCCTATAGTCCGAGTACGCCTAATGGACTCGAGAATTCGGCCGATGCCGAAGCACCACATCCACGCCATCGTGTATGTGTGATCAATTCTTAAGATGCCTGGCTCCCCTGACACGTCCCCTTGCTCTTGTGGAGTCCGGAAGAACTGCAGGTGCATCGAGCCTAGCGTAAGCCAATACAATAGCGTGCGACTTTACAACGGCGCCAGACTATGAGGAGGCCCCGAATCGATCATGGGGTTATGGCATAGCGTCTCGCTCTAATGAAATCTCGGCCCACTCAGGGCGAGAACTATCACACCTCTCTGGCGGCTCTCACCCTGCGACGAATATCACGGCCCATATACATTGACATTGACTACCGAGACTGACGATCATATCTTGCAGGCGGCACAAACTTGCGTGTCTGTCTCGTCACCCTCGAGGGCAAGGGCAAGTTTGAGATCACCCAAGCAAAGTACCGTCTATCCGAGGAGCAGAAACAGGAAGAGGGCCAGAAGCTCTTTGATTTCTGTGGAGGGTGCCTGAAAGCGTTCGTTGATGCCAATCAGGAGACGGGGCTGATCCCCAAAGGCTCTATTCTTCCCCTCGGATTCACGGTACGTCCAGTGCTTTTCTTATCCTATCGCACGACTCATCAGGACATCCTCAAGTTCTCATACCCGTGCTCGTACGTTTTGTGATTAGCCTCCTCTCACTCAACCTCATTGTATCTGATAATCCAGACAAGACCGCATCGACCACGGTGTGCTCATTCGATGGACGAAGGGTTTCGGTGCGCCGAACACTGAGGGTCATGACGTTGTCCAAATGTTCCGCAAATCCCTCACGAAGCACGTATGTGATATTTTTATGGAACGGCCGGCCGATCTTGACTTCAGTTTCCTCCCGTGTAGTCTGTGCCTGCAGAGATTGTTGCGCTCACGTGTGATACGACCGGTACGCTTATCGCCTCACATTACGTGAATCCCAAGACTCGCATCGCGTGCATCTTCGGTACCGGTTGCAACGCTGCATACATGGAGAAGGTCAAGGACATCCCCAAGATCGCTCACCTCGGGATCGATCCTGAGCAGGAGATGGCTATCAACTGCGAATGGGTACGCATCACGCTCTCCCATACATATCTACTACAGCTCTCTAGCAGCATGTCTCACTCATCTGTACAGGGCGCGTTCGACTCGTTCGAGCATGAGAACCTCCCGCGCACGAAGTACGACCAGATCATCGACGAGAGCTCCAACAAGCCAGGCGAGCAAGCGTTTGAGAAGCTTATCTCCGGTCGTTACCTTGGCGAGATCCTTCGGCTCATCATCTGCGAACTCATCGACGAAGGCGTGCTCTTCCTGGGGCAGAACACATACAAGATCGAGATTCCGTATTCGTTCGACACTGCGTTCCTTTCGCTGATGGAGATGGATCCGACTGAGGAGCTGCTGATGATCATTGGAATCTTCAACCACTTCTTCGCGCTCGAGACCACGCTTGCAGAACGACAGTTCTTCCGCGCGCTTGCGAAGCTCGTCGGGAGGCGCGCAGCGCGGCTGAGCGCGTGCGGGATCGCGGCGATCGTGAGCAAGATGGGATACCTGGAGGAAGGTTGCGCGGTCGGCGCGGATGGATCGCTGTACAACGTAAGTCTCATGGCCTCTTGGTCCCAACCCTCGCGCTCTGCTTACGCTTGGATAACTGGCAGAAATACCCCATGTTCCCGGAGCGGGTGCACGAAGGCCTGCAGGACATCTTCGGCGAGAAGGGAAAGTGAGTGATCCTCTGTCCATCGGTTTTCTGCTGCCAATATGGTACTGACTCAAATGCGCTAGGAACATCGTCACGTATCGTGCAGAGGACGGCAGCGGTATCGGCAGCGCGATCGTCGCTGCGATGACCAAGGCCCGGAAGGACGCCCAGATTTACCCCACCCTATAAGGACCCTTTTCCCCAACAGACAAGTACAAGTGGACAATTGCGACGAGGAAGGTAGAAGGAGATGTATCAGAAGCGAAATTCCAACATTAACAAGTGATGTATCCGTACTCCGTTGAAGTCCGTGTTATCCCTAGTTTGTTTGTACAAACGTATGGCACTCTCTCCGTATGTACCACATAGAAGGACACTTTCCACACAAGAAAAGCCCAGTCATCCTTGCACCTCGGCGGACAGCTCGGCCTCTTGGCCGGCAGTATCTTGATGCATGTCTCAGGAGAGCTACACACCACACTCTCTCAGGAACTGCCAAAGTCCCTACTCCTAGCCAAGATGTTCGAGTCGCGGCTCCTACAAATAATCGTGGAAACAGATGAAACTGTGCCATGATCGTCTGCATAATCAACGACTTTGAAGGAGCGCAGGGCGCTACAGATACGCTGCCAAGTTGCAACTTAAGGCGCTCTGGCCCGATGCACGCACTTCGATCGGACTATCATCTTCGTTTCAAGAGATTTTCTTCCTATTCTCTTGGCACAACAGGGAGAAGGGGGACTACACATCTCACACAATGACCCTGTGGCATGAAGGAGCAAAAATTAGTGCATGTGGTCATCCTCGACGTAGAGACTACAACGGCGGTTTCAAGTGACTCGAAGGGGGATCGGGCGGCGGGCCATCATGGTTAAAAACCCCCCTTTCCCCTTTCACGTGATGCCTTGCGTGCCTTCTCCGGAGTCGTCTGTGCCTCCTCTCCACATGGGTGGCCAGGACTTGCAAGTTTCACAGCGCCCGGGGACCCCTCCGGCCCTCTTACCGCCCTCTTCCCGCACTCTTCCCGCCGTGCACCGCTGTTCTGTGAGCCACTTTGCGCTCTCCTTGCCTGCAGACCCTGCGCTCTGCCACCCCATGGACGCTGTCGCGCCGAAAGCACATCAGCATTTGATGCGCTCCTCATGATCGCACTTACGCGCTTACCATCAGCGCCTCTTACCTGTTTCCCGCCTCGTCCGTCGTGACTGCCGCCTCCCGCTCCCGCCTCCCCGCCTTCCGCCATAGACCTGCTCGCGCTAAGGCTTAGAGTATGCTTGCACACTACATACTTGTCGCTCTGGTTTCTCCCTCTTTCCGGTCGCCTTGGGCAGCGCCCTCGACCTCACCGCCCGCGCCTGTAGCTCGGGTATCAACTTTTGAGGGGCGCATGATAGCTGTACCTGCGCGCACTGCTCGGCTACTCTCTGTTTGCATGCGGTAGGTAGGTTTTTTAAACCGTCGAGGCCAGATTGCCCTTCAAGTTAACACCGCCGTTGTAGGTTACTCGCTCGACGATGGGTCGGTGTCCTCGTGTCGTATGATAATCGTACGTTTAATTGATGGTAGGGTGATGCAATGTAATTCAGTGATCTCTCGAGAAGAGTCCAGCTATTGAACCGTGGTTTAACAGACTGTTATCCTGGAATCATTACAAACTAGCTTTCGTTTACCCGTGGCTTTGTCACTCGAGGCCTGCCTGCTCTGTGTTGATACAATTGTATTAGTTCTCCTTATTACAACCTCAAATGTAAGGGTGGCGGTCGCCCTTAGCACAATCAAGCCCAGTATTGTGCGCATATACCTGCGGGTGGGTGAGAACGTAAAATCTCAATTAAACTGCCTTTTGGTGTAATGGCTTTGACAGGCGGGATCAAACCATTCTACCTACATGAACCCGTTGTAAGAATTTGAGCAAATATCAGTGTAGGTACCCTAGATAATGTTCTGGGATTTGGATCAGTATGGTTTCTGGATTACATTGTTGCTCGGGCTAGGCTCTAGAAGTCAGCAGGCGCACCCATTGCTTTCCGGCTGCTGCCTGCAGTCTCAATATGTTATGTTGAGGCCTGCTTACCTACCCTTGTACTACTTGTTCAGCCCCTATCAAATACCTTGTTGTCTTCTACCCAGAAATTTCAGTGTGCGAGAATTCTATTCTCATCATTCCTGGTATTATACAGTTATATCTTCCCTCTGTCATGTGCAAATAAGATTATCAATGTCAAATCTCCCTGGTTGCTGCCCGTTGCGCCCTAACCCGGTGAACGGGGCGCTTGGCGCGCAGGACCTGTGGCCCATAAGCGGGCCACATGGTTTGCCACGCGGCACCACGTGGGTTAGACGCCGTGTCGTCCCATTCTTTTATGATGATCTCTCATCATATCCTCGGATGGTTCTTACGCCCGCTCGGACCCACTCGACATAGATTAGTGCTTGCAGACCGGATAACGTCAAGCTCAGGTACTGAGCCAGTTGGGACCGTCCTGCGGGTGTCCCTTGGCTTTGAAATGGTCGCACGCTCGACATGTACGATCACACCGAGGATCACGATATCTAGAGCATACCACTGCCTTCTGAGACCTTCCTTTTACTGATCATCAGGATGTGAACGAACTGTCCCCATGGTGAGCATAATGGTACCACGGAAGTTCAGGTGCGCGGCGGATTCCGGTGTGCACGAGTCGGGGCCGTTATGAGTTGGTGCTGTCGACCGGCCCGGCAGCTGCACAGTCCTTGCGCACAAAAACATACCCCCACTCTACTGTTTCTTTCACCAGCTCCTTCTTCGTGATGACTTCTCTCCCATAATGCCCGTGACCTTCCAAGTTGCAAAGCACGACGCGAATGCTATTGCGCTTCCTGGCTATAGACAAGGCCGGTCGCAAGACGCTGTGGAAGAGTTCCTGAAACAATCCTGCTACAAGCAGTGGAAGGAAAGCGGGGAGATTCTTCAGTCCTCCGTAACGGACTCTGCGCTCCAAACCTTGAGATCGAACAAGAACGGGTTCGTTCATACGGTCGTTGAGGCCCATGGAAGACATCATCACCTCAGAATTCGGTCAGTACGAAAGCATATCGCAGATGATCAAGGCCGCACATATGCTAACCAGACCTGTTTCATCTGCAGGCCGGACGACATTTGGATCGCAATCCTTTCACAGCTCAGCTTCTAGTCAGTTTTACCCTTCCATTCACAACCTGAATATTATGATCTTTGCTCATCCACTGTTCTTTGTAGTGTCAATAAGCACGCCGATGAGCTGCGGGAATACTTCGTCACGCACGAGGGAAAGAAAGAGCTTTGGGTCTATGCAGTCGGCACCCGTTACACGGTTGATTTTGGAAGTTTGGCCAGACAGATGTCTGATCAAATTCATCAGCATGTACGTACATCTGCATGAGACCAATGTGCGGCATGCTGATGACACTTCACATCCGTAGGTTGTCGACAAGACCTTGGTCGAGTGGATTCTCCCTGATTTCACGACTTCGACGACAAATGATACCACGATCTGCGCCATTCTCCTCATGTCAACTCTGCAGGCGTGCGTTTCTCAGTCTTCGCGTGCCAACACGTAGTTAAATCACATTCTCGGCTGGCAGATACTTCTCCTATGGGATCGGCATAATCTGTGGCATTCCTTCGGTCACCCTCGAGGGAGAGAAGGCTGACTGGGAGAGGCTCTACAAACGCCTTGACCGTCTTCCAGAGCTCGGAGAGGAGCCCGAGCAATGGGCGGCCATGCTTCGTCCTATTCTGCGGCGCTTCGTGGAGGCATTCGATGGGCAGCCCGACATACCTTTCTGGGAGCATGTCGTGAACCGCAACGACAGGATCTGTGGCCTGGACTTGATTTCGGGTTGGATCACCGCGTTCTGTGTGTGGGACCAGGACGGGAAGTGGCTAGCCCGCAATCGGCGGGCCGGGAGTCAGTCTTTGGGAAGCATAAAGACTGAGGGTAAGTGACTAATGCCTTCGAATATCGGTAATATGGCTCACGGCTGCTCGGTATAAGGTAACTATACCCTTGACGGCATTCCCTACTTTGAACTTGATATGAAGGACATCCCGAGTGGATATGGCGATGTCAATGTCCTAGTCGACGATAACGGGACGACATTCGACTGCAAAATGGTTGCGGGTCACGTTGCGGCGACGATCTCAAAGTCAAGCGACGATGGAGTATACGATACTCTCAGCCCTGCGCCCCAATGGTTCATGTATGTCAAAGGGGACAAACCGCGGCGGGGGTATGAAGAAGAGGAGGCGGAGAAATTGGCAAGGTTGATGCGCGACTTTGAAGTCAAGTGGGGCAAGCATCCGGCGAGATCCTGAGGTGAATGCATGAGTCTGCGGAAATGATTGTGGTTCAAAATGCGATATGCTATGTTGACTTTTGCTATCTGCCGTAGAGGACCGATTCGTTGAAATGGAATATAAACTTGTACTCTGGTGTACCATAGTACTGTTGGCGATGGACGCAATCATCGACTCGGCGATGAAAGCGACAGGGATGGTCAGATATGTTGCAAAGGGGGAAGACCTGACTGAAGAAGGGTGAGATGTTCGCCGTCACATGAGAGCCAATTCGCCTGACGACATGTCTGTATCTATGGACCAAGTGAGATGGAGAAGATGTGAGTATGCAGTTTCCTGAGTCCTACGACAGCAGAGTGCCTTGGTCCTTTCACGACATTCTCAGAGTCTCCTAACTGTAAAGGCTGTGTCGCAGGAAGCTGTAACCAAGATGTATGCTCCAGAGAAGCACGATATGAGGACAGATCATCATAGAAGAAACCGTACTACCACGCTGTACTTGTGCATGTTTGCCAGGGAAAGAGCGGCGTTACAGGGTCCAGCATATCATAAGCTCCAGTCAGATTTCCTTTCCTATATTCATCAGAGACATCAGGCGTTATGTTCTGATCCGTGTTCAAATGGGATCTTATCCGAAGAACATGGCACATGGCGTTGTGGCTTCATACCGTCCCAACAAACTGTCTCCACTGAGCTCGTGTGGTGCGGAGCCAAATCAGATGGACACGTGCAGACGTATAAGACTTATGTACTGTCTTTTTTCAGACACGGCTTCTCAGCCCGCAGTAGAGCGAACGACGGGTGATCTATGCGACCGAGAAAGATTCACATTCGTCTGAGCTCTTTCATATCACATACACCAATCAATTCGTATGATGTCTACTCCAAAGGACGCTATCTTGCATGCATATTCACTCGCTGCCTGGCCGAGATCGAGCGTTCAATTGTAGTACTTCAATATCTGCACACCATTGTCAACGATTTGCTCTTGAGTCGCCTTGTCAGTGCCGATCGCTTTCTTCAACCCATATGCCATGTAGCGCATCTTCCGCCACTCCCCCATCGTCGGCGCGACATCGTCTTCGAACTTGCGAACGACACCCTCTTCCTCAAGCACTGGACTCTTGACGGGGACAAGCTTCACGTCGTCGTCCGCTAGCGCGAAGTAGTATGCCCCGAGTCGCACGAGACCGCGTTGGTCCATGGGAGGCTGCACGACGCGATGGATAGTCGCCTTGTAGAACCCGCCGGAGAGCATCTCCAACGATTCGCCGATATTGACCACCTGGATATTTATCACCAATATTGTACCTGACAGATTCGGTGCCGATGAGGAGACTGAGACTCACGAGCGCGTTCTCGATATGTTTGACCCAGCGCCATTTTCCGTCGGGTGACAAGATTTGTAAAGCGGCGATGGGCTGGCTGTAAAGGATCGTCACGGTTCCCGTGTCTAGCATAGAAAGCTTAGGCATAAGATAGCGATGCGTGGTATTGCGGAAGCTCGAGCTCACCTGTGTGTCCCTTAAGCCAAACGCTGTTCGTCTTTGATTCTTCCTCTGCTGTGCGCGGGTAGCTGCATGTCGCTCAGGAACAAATCATGCATCCATGCGCGGCGCTACTCACTACTTGATCCATCGAGCTGTGAAGACCACATTATGAAGGTGAGCCCTTTATCGGAACATGACTTCGCGTAAAGAAACGTGCCATGAGAGTCCCCGACAGCGTCGAAGCCGTGCATCTTGACGAACGTCTCTTCATCAATCTCCATCCCTATGGCGAGGAGGCTGCACGGGGCTGAGCATGATCATCTCATTGAACTCTATTTCTAACGTACCGAAGGATGTTGTGAAGGACGTTGTAGTGGTTGTGCTCGCAGAACGCACGCAGTTCTGGAAGGAACGGCTCCAGCGCCTTCGGGTGCTTTTGCCCACCAAAGACCGTGCGGTGCACTCAGAAGTGAAGTAATGAGCACAACCTGCACCAACCCATCTCAGATGAAAGGCGCTTACATGCGTACTGTTCGTGTTGGTCGCGTACTCCGTTATCTATGGTCTGGGGGTGTGATAGGTTTAGGATGATGTCATAGCAGTGGCAGAGGCCTCCGAGCACGTACCCAGAGCGCGCGAGGCTTGTAGCCGATTTTCGAGCCCTCCTCAGCGAGTTTCGATGCGTGCTGCATCCTCTCGTCCTCTGAGACTTGAGTGAAAACCACTTCTCCAATATCGAAGAAGCGATCAGTCTGAATTAAGGTAATCATTCAGTTCAAATTCAAAGCTTCCGACCATCGCATACCTGAGCCTTGGTTAACCCATGGTTCACTAAGCACATGAAGCCGACAGTACGCATCACGTCGCATACACGGGGCGCAAGCTCCGCGCGCCCCTCGGGCGTGCTCGCTTTTGAGAAGTCGATGATCGGCAGGTCGGCCCAATCCACTATGACAAGTTAAGAGAAAGTAAGACAACATTCGCGAGGACTAGGTGCACATCCACTCACGGTCCTTCTTGGTTGGCGGGGGTGGGATCCATCGAGGTGCTGAGGGAAGGGTCGTGGCAGGCATAGTTGGCAAATAGATGGGACGTTGAGGGCGTTTTGGCTCAAGGGAGGTTGGGGGTTGCGAAAGATATCCTCCCAACTGAGACGTTGTGCCGACGGCTGAGCGTGAGTACGAGACACGTTCCAAATTTGGGAGTTCAGACCCTCTTGGGGCAATAGAGTACACATGACATCGCCGAAGGGGGGTAGGCTTAACAAAAGCATTTCATTTGGACACCGTGTGAGCCCGAAAGCGGCATGGAGTGTTCTGAATAGTTGGAATTCCTTCTAAGAAGTCGGTGACTCCGCTGAGACGTCAGGCTACTCAGCTATCGGAGCTCCGTGGGACCACTATTTCAGTCCCTTCACACTGACAGTGAGACGAAACCATAAGTTATACTGCATATTGGCAGGATCGGCCGAGAGACTCACCTCGTTCGAGCCCACGGAAACCCGACGAGATGCATGATGACGTTCAAGTTGACGCAGGGTGACTTCCTGATATTATTGACTTCTGATATTGATCATCAGACTTACGGCATAAGATACAGACCTACGTAGATAGTGCGATACATAGCGCTGTGAGGTTTCCTGGCACGAAGCAGTATGCAAAGGGCATGAGGTCGACTCTGTTTAAGACCCGCTGGTCGGGGGACCACGTGTTGAGTCCGGATATGGCAGTACAAGCGCCGAAGCCAGCCATCAATGCATCATTCATCATGATAGTGGTCGTTCACGTCCAGCTGCAGGCTCGGACTTGTCTGCTACAATCTCATTGACTTTGCTTCCGTTTTTTTCCTTCCTTGCATGATCTCCGTATTTATCGAGCGACACCCTCAGCTATACTTTCCGGACGGAGATATCGCTCTCCTTGCCGTCAAAGAGCCCCTGAGCCATGACGGGCCTCCGAGTTTTTACGTCTTCCGCATCCACAAATTCCTCCTGAGGCATCACTCGGAGACATTTGCCAACATGCTTGCGGATGCAAACTCACATACCGACAATGTCTACGATGGAGTGCCGCTGGTGGAAATGCATGGCGACAAGGCGGAGGACCTGGCGCAGCTGTTGAATTTCATCTATAACCCTTCGTACGTTGTATCTTCCTAGGCCGCTCTTTTAGTCCTCACTCCAACAGATCCATGACCCTCAAACGACATGACCCTGATGCCCCTATAGTTGTCAGCGGCATCATACGCCTGGCGGACAAGTACTGCCTCCAATCGCTCCATGACCACCTGGTGAAACAAGTAGTGTCCGACTGGCCTACCACCCTCCACGAATGGGATATCCTCCAAGGCGAGATCTCCGCGATCCTTAAGACACCATCTACTGCCGCCCATCACTTGTACGGAGATCATCCCGAGGATAAGGCCCTCGCGGACCTCATCCCTGAGCCGGTTTCCGCCATCCTCTTCGCACAAGAGTTCGGGTGTTCCGAGATCCTACCCGCCGCGTTCTACCAGTTGTCGCGCATCAAAGTACAGCATGACTGGACGCTTCGCAGTGACCCGGACGGCAAGCGCGTCGCCCTCGCCCGTTGGTCGCTGCTCGACAAGGATAACCTCGTACGCTATCTCCGAGGCTATCAAGAGCTCGCCGATTACTTCCCCGCGATCCGAACGTTCCTTTCTGCTGGATGCACTCCCTTAGATGACGACCTCGCGAACATGGATCTTGACGATAACAGCTGCTACGTATTCTTGCATCGTGTGTTTACCATCATGTGGACCGCGGGTCGAGGATCCAGGAGAGATCCGTTGCATCTACTGCTACTTTGCCTCGAGGTCAGAAATCACACTTCGGACATCGCTAGGAGTATGGGTGTACGGGGTGATGTGGGGTTGTGTCAGGAATGTTGGGACAAACTAGAAGAGGAGATCCCTCAGAAGCGGAAGAGGTTATGGGACAGCCTGCTGCAGTACTTTACGTCGGATATCAATAATTCACTTTGAGGCAAGTGATCAATGGGAGTTCTCGGTGACTTAGCTAACCGTTTGAGATACGCGAAGTGCCAGAATCTGAATGATTTACTTCGATCGCGCACGCATACTTTCGAACGCATCGCGCCACCGTCTCCTTGCTCCGGTGGTAGTGGCCTATCGCTCTAGGTCTCACGATCGCAGCGTTGTGACAGCGGTGCGCATAGATCGTGAATACGGTGCATCAACGCGCGTAGCGCGTCTCGTCATGTCTCCGCGGCTATCTCCTGTGGTCTTCCTTCCAGTGTCACTGAAGCAGTCCTATCACGCACGCGTCGATGCTTCCACGAGCAGGGTGTCATGTCAGTGCACCCGCGCGGGTGTTCCCTCGATTTTTCGTCTTCCCTCGGACGCCCTCGGCTACTTTCGGCGCTGCACGCATGAAAGATGGCCCGGCTTTGCTTCGCGGTGCGTCGCACTCTATGCTTCCCTTGGCGACGACGTGAAATGTGATGTACGTGCGCAGTATGGCTATGACGAAAATAATATCCAGCATACTTCGCGCGGGGCTGTCCAGATCGCGCCGAGCGGTGGTATTGTAAACAGGTATTCTCGGACATGTAAGGAAGAAGCTGGGGACACACGGGTTGATACATTGCGTGTCACCTCAATCGCTGGAGCACCTGCTGGATGCTGTGAGCGTTCGAACTGTATGTGGTGGAAACCGGTACTGATGAAGCTTCGACGACATACCTGGCCTGGCGTTGAACTGAGAGGACAGCATACGCAAGTAGTACCACAATCTATTCCCTCGCAGGGACGTCAATTCACAATACAGCATGCCTCAGTCCGCGCTCTGGCCTTGCTACGCTGCCTTTTGAATACGAAAGTTACACCATGAATTGATGGTACTCAATACCGGGAATATGGCGGAGGCATCGTAACGACCATGCTGTCGTTGAGCTGGTCTACCTCGGTAGACGAGTCACCCCCGTCCAGGGGGCCTCCGGCAAGACGGACCCCTCCATCTGCTTCATATCTGAACAGCCTCGTACGTCTTCCATCATGTTCTCTTCCACCATCAACGTTCTCTTCCCAGACATGCCTGTCTCCAGGGTCCTCGCTTCCTAACTCCACGGTGGGATGCGGCCGCTCCTCACTCGCAAGACTCAGAGCGACGTTTGTGATGGTGCCGGAGGCAGCAGCACCCGTAGAGCGCTTCTCCGAAGTGCTTGTCGGTGATGGAACGGCTTGCGCAGCCCCGTGGTTCAAGAAGGGCCCGAAGCTTGATGTCTGAACGATAGTGGAACCTGCGATAGAACGTGCACGGTGATTCCAGGGGATCCATTACAGTCCGAAGAAGACTCACAGCGGGACACTCCCACTGTGCCAGCCACAGAGCTACGCTGTCCGCCACGGAGTTTCTCTATATCGCTTTGAGCAGATAGGAGCGCTTCACGAGTCGAGGCGGTGGCCTCGTACTCTTGGTCCAAATCTGAGGGCATGAGTGCTACATCAATGCCGGAGCCGCGAGGCCAGAATGCAGCTTCTGACGCACCCGCGATTGTACTCTCCGAAATTTGCACCTTCGCTCTCCGACGCTTCCGTCTCACTGCGTACCACACACCGAATGCCAACAATAAAAGTGCCGCTCCCAAACTAGTGGCAATACCGACGATGGTTGACTCTGCAAGGCTCGGGTGCGAAGACGAAGCTGATGGAAGCAGGGATGCACTGCGTGACGACGACAATGAAGGCGAGGTCGGCGCCGACGGTAGGGTCCCCGTCCCGGAAGCATCCCGAGTAATTTCGCTACTGTGGCTCTGACTTTGAGTGGGAGAAGAGGATGATGATAGGGTCTGCGATGTGGAAGATGACCGCGATTCGCTGCTAGACCTGGGTGGCGGCACTGACACAAGACTCGTGTTGTCAGGAGCAGTAGACACGGGTATCGACGCTAGAGGGGATGACGAGGGCTTCCGAGAGGACGTATTGGAAGTAGAGATAGTTGGAATGACTGTGGTAGAGGTAGATTTGGGAGGATTCCTAGACGTCGAACTGGAAGTGGTTGTGGGGGAGTCGAAGGTTAAAGGGGCGGGAGTGCCTGGGGTAGGTCGTCCGATGACAGTAGAACATCCCCCAACGCCATTAATGAAAACGCACGTTTCTACGAAAATGGTGCTTACACCATCCATTTGGGATAGGCCTAGGGGATAGGTAGAGTGGGGGAATATCTATGAATTGGTCCTGGACCATCGACTTTTAAGGTCGGTTGCTTCCAGGGGTGCTTGGGAAGTTGAGCGGGTGTTCCGCGGTCTCCCATATGTTGGTGGAGGTTGTTCTAGTGCGATGATTGAACCGGTGCGCTTGACTGCTCGGGGTTTATCACGTACAGAAGTGAGCGGTTCCGAACCTCAGCGAGCGTCCGTCAGTATGAGAGCATGGAGTATCATGCATCTTTATTAGGAATGATCGAAACTGTAAAAATTGTTCATGTGTAAAGTTCCTACTGCAGATTGATCATGGGAATGATTGCAAACTGGTCCTCGCACGTTTATCAGAGAGGCCAGGAGTCAGATCACAGTGTGACAGAATTCTCCGTGTGGGCCTGAGACGTCTCAAAATCACTAACTCCTCATCAATCGTGAGCTAGGACTCTACGCAGTGTGCTAATTCCACGTGGGAAGGGCACTTAATTAGTATCTAGGGACTCCATTACGGTTTCCGGAGAGCTCTAATGTTTCAGGTGAGCAGATCGGGGGCGAATTCAGATACAAGGACGGTGATTGTGTGACTGCATCTGTGGGCACTGGGCATGTTTGACTAGTACGTCTCGTTGTGAACTCCCGGTTGCGTAGAATACAGTGTGATACAAACAGATGTAGTATCGGAACATAGTGATAGCCATCTCCGTGATCGAGTCCATTACATGGCTGGCGGGTGAACGTCGGCGGCCCAGGCTGCTAATACGGTGTGGAAAGTGTACCTACCACCGTATGCAGGATATCCGAGTACCTCAATAATATGCTTAGATTAGCCATCTGGATAATGGGGAACAAGTTCTCTCTTACATGAATTGCTAGCTTTTGGGATATAAGAGACCGGGACATGATAGCACTCCCATACCTCCCGCGACCGGAGGTACCGGAGGCTACTACCACTGTCTAGGTCTAGTCGGGTAATGTGGTTTTGCGTCTTAAGGACTCACTTCCATGGTCAACGGAGGGCTACACCATACTCGGGGCGAACCGCTGAGGCAAGTTACATGACTACGTGCGAACCATACCCCGTCCTGATATAGCACTTTACAGATGCACAAATCCGAGGCGAACATTGTGATGAATGACTCTGTGTATTCTCAAAGTAGGTGATCAGCGAGAATAGGGAGGAGGAAGCGTCCACGATGATCGTTCAGAGTTACTGGTTCGATCATCCTCCACCTCATAAGCCCCATTAAGCTGTCTCCTAGTAGTGGCTCGTACGGTCGAGTCAACAACATGACCTCCTGTCTCACCCGGATCACAGGCACGGGTCCTGAAAGTTGGATCTTGATGGTTTCCATGATTGATGCATAGAAGACCAGGCGGTAGCGGAAGTCTATCATGAGTGCTCATTGTGTGGTTGGACAGGGAAATGCCATGTGAGGAGCGAAGGGGAGAGACGATCTTCTGAGGCATGGGATTGGAGGCTGGTGGGAGAGGATAAGGCTGCGACGAGCTACGGTCGATTCTCACATGCAAATCCGACGCCTGTACAGCTTGCGAAGCTATGCGGCGAGTGCGTGATTCGTGATCTCGGCAGGTGAAACCAGGTATGGACTATTTCAGTACTCACCTTCTCCCTGTGACACGGGTAGGACGCTCAACATCTGCGTTGAACGCTGCTCGTTGAGATTGGTATGACCTTCTCACAGGGTTTCGGTGAGCCGCTCGATGTCTGTCATGAACGCTAGAGCCCCAGATCAGAAAGCGGGTCTAAAGAAGGAACCGTAATCACCGACCTGCCACATCGCTGGCGCTTCTTGGAACTATCTGCCGCATGTAGCGTGCCGCACCCAGAATCAGCAAGGTCATCCCGATGACTAGCACCGCCCCTCCAATGGCGGCGCCCATAATGGATCCGATTCTAAAAGAAGAATGGCCTGGGGGTGGAGCTATCGGTATATCATTGTGGGAGACCGGCGTGATTGAGCTCGTGGTCATGGACGCATATGTCAATGTCTGTGTTGGGTATGAGTTAGAGCCTTTCGGCGCAAGGAAAACCTGTACGCACATGAGACATCATCAGAGTGGTAGTAGTCGTACTTCCGTCCTTTAGCGTCCAAATGAGCGTCGCCGTTGTTACAGCAGGACCAAGAGAATACCTCGAGCTTGACAGGGCGGCCCCCTGATTACTGGGAGAACCATTGCTGGTGGACGTTTGTGATAGGAAACTTGTTGATGTGCCAGAGGCATGACTTTTACTCTGAGTAGGTGGACCTGAAGGGGACGCGCTGGTCAAAGAATCAAGGGAGGAAAGGCGTGGAGAAGTGGGCTTTGCAGGTAGGTGCTGAGTCGTTGTGGAAGACTGTGACGATTCGACGACAGTAACGAGCTGTGGACCATTTACAGCTGTTGTAGAAGGTGAGGTGAGACAGTCGCTGATAGACGATATCCCTGAAGCGGTACTCCAGGAAACAACGGATACGCTGGTCACATATGCAGACAGTGACCTCCTCAGAGAAGTAGTAGTACGTCGTAGAAGTATTTTGAATAGTCTCCGATGGAGGTGAGATCACTGTAGTCTCGGTGAGAGAAAACAACGAAGAGGCTGGGTGAGTTACTGTCGGTGTCGCCATGCTAGCAGGACGAAACCTTCAAGGCCCAGGGGATATTGTGTACCTCCTATGCCCGCTATGAACTTATGAGGCGGTATGCATTAGGCATGTGTTATACTAAAGTGATGCTTATCAGGAAGATATACCGTTTTCCATGATTCTGTCAGCGAATACGCAACGTTAGATCCTGTAAGAGGACTGTACTTACCAAAAACTGATTTACGCCAATGATTCTCGGGGCTAGCGCACAAAAGCTTCCTGGACGCATGCATGAACACATGCATGGCAGAATGCCACTGTTCCCATGGTCGTCTCACCGCATCTGCCAACGCTAGCAATCTTGACATCGAGTCAGCCACGGCTCACGCTCGCTAATGGCATCAATCATGACTCCTTACAATATTGACAGCAAACGATGAAGACAATCGTCTAGGTACATGGCCGAATCCCGTCTAAAGTGACAGTGATCCGTAAGTTTAAATCGCACAATCCCACAGTCATTGATCGCTAGTCAAAGGCTCACCGGTGAGCCTTTCAGCGCCCACCTCCAGCGGTTCAAGTTCTTGGGAGCAGTACAAACCAACTGCTCCTCCACCCGGCCTTCCATGCCTCCTCCTTATTCTCCTACGACCTGAACGCATCCAACGCATCCTTCGCATTCCTTTCACCCTTCGCGACTTCGTTATGTGTTACCGCACATATCTCGGGACGGCTCCGTTGTAGGCGAGCATCATATCGTGATGAGGGCGTAGGGCGAGGTGGCGTGGCAGTGGGAAACAAAGAGCGCGAAGAGTGACTCGGAGGGCCGACGTTGCGGGGTGGATGTCGTGTGCAATTGGAGGTGGTACGGTCGGTAGAGGCCCGTGCACTGTTACCCTTTACGTATAGAGCTGTACATCAAGGATCTCTAGTACGATCATAGGAGAATAGAGTCGAACGCACGGATTTGCTGTGTTCCACGTCCTTGCATCCTCGTGGCGGCGCGTTCCATACGGCCTCCATTCATGCGGAGGTACCCCATCTGTTGTGAGCATATAGATATTGCAGGTACCAATGAGACCGTCCCAAGAGGCAGGTATATGCGAGACAGGCGTGGAATGGATGGGTAGAGCCGCAATCTCCACAGGTGCCGGTCCGGGCCGGATTGCCGTGGACGACAGATCGACGTCACTCTACTGTGTTCAAGAAGGTCGTAGGCGATGGACGATACACTGCAGTGCACCGCGAGGCCCTGGTAGCATTCACTTGGAGAGGATAGTTGCTATAGCGCATAGTAGGCACTGAGACCCAGAAGCAGCGTCCATATTCCTACACCGGTGTATGTACAGGCACTCATCATGAAAGGGAAGCCGTCAAGGCGAAGGAGTTCCATTGCATGCGCCATGCGACCCAAGCCGGATAAGATACTATCGTATACTTGACTGATATCCTACGGCAAAGGAGCAACATGCTCGTGTCCGTCCGAACAAGGTCCTTCACAACTGGTAATAAGAAGGAGGTAGCGTGGAGCCCACCGAGTCGCTTCGAGTGTCGATATCCTGTCCTAGATCGTCTCCTACTCGCCCTCCAGCAAGACGGACAGCTCCGTCGGTGTCATGGCGTCTCGTCCTCTCCCTATGTTCCAACCCCCGATCATCTGGGGTTCTCCCGCCTGTCGCAGGCGAATCGCGCATGCGTCCTATGTTATGGAGAAGCTTTTCCGACGGTGCATTTGGCGCTGCACGGGGCTCAGTTCCGCTGACGTTGGCTAGTTGAGAGACTAGAACACCTGGAGTAATGATTTCATGAGAACGTCCGTAGGCCCCAGTTCAGTGCAATATGATGAACCTACCATCCACTTGAGAGACCTCGTTGACCAGCACCATATCGAAGGAGGTTCGAATCCCTCGATCTCGTTGAGGTCGAGTGCCAAACGCAGGGATCCCACTTTGCCCAGCAGCCGCTTCAAGCTCTGTTGCGAAACCAGTCCAGTGAGGACTGTACATAGAAGGTGCTGGGATCTAGTCTCTTACCGTGAGTCGCTTTCAGGCTTGATGACGTCGGGCGGCCTCGCGGCCTTCGGCATAGGCGCAGGAAGAGTACGGTGCAACCTACAGCAGCAAGCACTGCTGCCACTACGACACCTGCAACTATCCGTATGTTCACGCCTTGATGAGAGCCTGCCGTCTGGGATGTTATGTCTGTCGTTTGGGAAGATGGGCTTGTCGTTTGGGAGGATGTCGTGGTGGAAGTACTTCCTTGGGTTGTGAAGGATGTCTGGGCAGGTGTTGTACTTGATGGTCGGGGAGGCCTTGCGCTGGATGTCAGAGGAGTTGATGTGCTGGATAGCTGGGGAGGTGCTGTGGTAGATGGCTGGGGAGGTGTTGTAGTAGATGCGCTTCGTGTGGATTCAGAGTTAATCTATGAATAATATCTGTACCAGATCTTAGCGATGGCTAGAAATCGCTAAACGACTTACTGACGACCCCAACCGCGAGCCAGAGGCAGAAGGAATAGGTGTAGTCGCCAAGGCCGTGGTAGTAGATGTGTGCAAGAAAAAGAAGAGAGTTGAAGCTATATCTCCATGTCCAGTCCCGATATTCAAAGTACCAGTGGATAAAATCGACGCAGCGGTAAGGTCCGTTTGCGGTGCAACAATCGTAGCTATGGGGACACCCGCGGCCTCATCCGGGACGACTGCACAAGCAAGATCGCCATTGTCGGAGGACAAGGGTTCACAGAAGACTGGAGCACAGAACGCGTCGTCTGAAGATCCTAATACCTCGCAAAACTTGTACGTCGTAGTTCGAGACATGTCCGAGATGTAGCACAATAGAGACGACGCACCTTACACCCATGCGGGGCCCACGACCCTTTATGTTATGGCAGCCTGACATGGCAACGTAATCACGGAGTCAAATGCTTCAATATTCTGCTCCCTACAGGCAGCTGTGAGTACGTTCCACAGCTCAAGGCGACTGTGGGACTATTTGACGTGTTCGACGAGATGGTCACCGGATAACTACTTCAAACAGATACCTGGTTCCATACCACACTATGTGGAAAACCTCAGCATCGACTAGGAAACAGAGCTGATGATCTCACGCACCAGGAAGTCGATATCAACAATCACTCACTGTTCCCGCTTTGTCCGCTTCTGTTGCTACTTATATGATGGTGCAGCGTGCAATTATACACAACGCTTCACACGTCGAGCACGTACTGTGTCCAAGGTGACAATCATCAGCATCTCAAATTCAAGCTCGATCAAGAACTGTCAACACACGCACTTCTGGAGACCTCCGTCCATCAGGACGAGATGGACAGCCGCTCTCCTTCCCCGACCTTCCACACCTCTACCCCACCCTCGCCGCCAACCCCGACCAGCCCCCTCGCCCAGTCCACACTTAGTACCTTCCTCCCCCCCTCCTTCCTATCCTCCCACGCCCTGAACGCTGCCACTGCGCTCTTCGTGCTCCTCAAATCCCATAGCCGCACCACCCCGTCGTATGCGCCCGTCACAAGCTGCTGCTCGCTCCCCTCGGCTGGGGAGACGGCGATACAAGATGGGGTCGCGGGATGCGCGAGGGAGGCAATCGACGGGGTCGTCGCGGAGGTCATCGCGGCACGGAGGTCATATTGGGAGACTGTGCGGTCTGTCGAGGCTGCGAGAGCAGTAGAGCCGTCGCGGGAGAGCGCAAGGTCGAGGAAGGGCTTTGTGGAAGCAGTCTATAGGTACATAGAGTGAGTATATAGCCGATTGGACACTCTAATACAACGCACAATCGTCCCGGTGCAAACGCCGTTCTCGACGTCCCACGTGCGTACCGTCGAGTCGAACCCACAGCTGAACGCGCTCGTGCCCTTCGCGTCGCGACCGAAGACGACGCGAGACACACGCGCGGTGTGGCTCTTCAGCACTGCAGTGGGCGCTTTGCGTTTTGGACGCGCGGGGTCGCCATCTTCCCCGACCTTGCGGCGTTTTTTGCGGTCTCCGTTGGCAGTGTTGTCCGCAGGGACTTCGTCCGTAGTCGGTACTGACGAGTCGAAGAGACCAATGAGGCCGTCCCACGATGAAGTTAGTATATGCGAGCCCGAGGCGTTCGCGGCGACGGAGGAGACGGGGGCGGTGTGGAGGTGCAGAGACGCGACAGTCTGTGCTTTCGAAGGGCCGGCGGTTTGTGAGAGATCGACCCGAGTCAGACGTGCAGTGAGGTCGTGCGATGCGCTAGCGATGAGATGCGAGTCGGGCGAGTCGGAGGGAACGACGGCTATCGAAGTGATGGGCACGGGATGTACAGAGACAGTCTGGAGGAGTTTTTGGGGGTAGTCAAAGACACGGATGGCGCCATCGTACGAAGCAGTGAGGAAGTGCCTATGGGAGAGGCTGTGATCAGTGTGTCTGCGTGAAGAGCGGGATTTTACACAGGTCAGATGCAACGAGATAGTAGAACACTTCGACGAGCAGGCGTTTCGGAGGTTGCGGTACCTAGTCCATCCCTCTGCTAGCAAATTTTCATTTTGACAATAAGTATCAGGAAGCGCTTTCGGATTGCAACACTCTCCGTCTTCCTAAATTGCCCCACACGATATGGATGGACCCAATTACCATGAGCACGGGCCGCAGATCGAGTGTAAGTATGGGGTTTTACTCAGCCCAGATCACACATAATTGCACAAAATTCGTCGGAAACCGCGGATACGACGCAGACTGGACCTGAATTGAGGGTCGAAGTCCTCCCAGCGTTCACAAAGGAGTGGAGTCACAGCAACAGGAACGCACAGGGGCAAAGATAACGGTCTAGGAATGCGTACATACCCAAGTGTTTGACATGATATCGAAGAAACCCAGTCTTCGTGAGGGAGAGAGGACATCCGCTGAGGCGGCATAACCGACTCAAAATACTCTATCTCAAGAGTCTCTTCCTACACAGTCGCATGGATTCAGGAAGCGATGAGGAAAAGAATTTTGGACTTGACGCACCTCTCCGACACCGCTCTCGGCACACCATTCTGCTAACGTTCCGCGGAGAATCTCTCCTCGAACAAGGAACTCAAACGGGATAGGCCTTGGTAGTGAAAGCGCCTTGTTCACAAGCTGAGATAGCTGGTAGCGCTTCCATGAAGTTGGAATCATGAACTTTTGGGACGGCAAGGGGTAGGGAGTTTGCGTGGTGAAAACCACGGGGTGATTAGGCTCCGAAGTCGACGTCATGAAGGGCGAGCAAGCACTATAGCAGGAGCGTTCAGAGATATATGGACACCTGCAAGAAGCAGCGAAGGCACAAGCACAGCAGACAGCCCGGAAGCGCAGGCAGAGCAGGACGAGCAGCCTCGGGACTGGGATGAGCCGCAGAGAGGAATATTTTTGTCACTGTCACGCAAATCATCACATTGGGACGCGTGTTGTGACATTTCGCCGCGACGCGCGTCGAGATCAGCTACCTCAGGCTCTGCTCAGCCACCGACCACGCGGGACGACCGTGACCGGCAGCCGACTGAAATCTTCGAGTCTCTCTCTGCGGTGAGCAACATAGGAGGAAGACACCGAAGGGTATTGTGGCGGAGAACAGTAAGTCGCGCTGCTCGAAATCACTGTGTGCTCGCATCCACAGTAGCACCCATGATATTGCAAGACCCTTATCGCCCTCATCTTGTAACCTGCTGGTCTGGCATCAGAGCAATCCCATGTCTCCGGGTACGTCGGTTCTATCAGTCATCTATGAAGAAGTTCGAGGGCAAGCGGGCACAAATGGGATTCGCGTTTGGCCGGTGCAAACGCGTGCCGTACATAGTACATACAATAGACCTTATATACACAGTAGAATAGGGGTAGATAAGGGCGCGGGTATCCGTCGGGGGGCGGGACCTGTGGCGCTCGTTCCGCGAGCTCGCCATCTTGACGCCAGGATTCCAACAATCTAGTCATAGGTCCCATGATGCAGAGCGTGTGTACCTCTGCTTCAATGCTTCGTCGCTACTAGTACAACTACCTTATATCTGCATACGTACATTCCTCATGGTGCAAATCCTTCTCAATTCGACGCCGTATCAGCAGGCTCTCACGAACAGCCGAACACCGCCTATGTGCCCGGTGCACGCTTCTGCCCCCATTCCCACTCAATTGTAATGCCTCACAACCAATCCGTTGACGATTTGCTCCTCGACGACGTCGTCCTTGCGCTGTAACTCGGAGAGCCCATACACTTTCGTGCGTGCCCGCCGCCATTCGCCCATTGTCGGCGCGTCTTCGTCCGCACACCTCCTCACGATCCCAACTCGCTTCAGCACAGGGCTTTCTTCCAACGGCAGGATGCGCACGTCGTCGTCGCCGGACGCGAAGTAGAAGAGGCCTAGACGGGAGTAGCCACGTTGGTCCGCAGGAGGTTGGAACACCCGATGGATCGTAGCTTTATAGTATCCGCCAGACATCATCTCCAGCGAGTCGCCTGCGTTCGCAATCTGTGTATCTCTAAGTAAGTGTCGTTTCCTGCTCAGGACATGCATGACTAGCGACATACGATGCCGTTAGGGATGTGCTTCACATAGCGCCACTTCCCGTCCGGAGACATGATCTGCAGCGCTGTGACAGGTTGACTCCAGAGGAGCGAGATGGTGCCAATGTCTACCCAGGATATATAGTTCAGGAGCTATATTGGATACGTCGTGGTTACGGAGTGGTACATACCAGTGTGTCCCTTCAACCACACGTTCCGTGTCTTAGATTCGTCGTCATCTGTCCTGGGGAAACTAACATGTATCCTAGGAATTTGACTTAAGCCTATAAGCTGAGGCTGTGGGCCAGACTTACTACTTCATAAAGCGGACTGGTAAAAAGATGTGAACGGTACCGAAGAGGAATGAAAAGAGATGCCTTACGGTACGTTTCCCCTTCGGCGTCGAAGTTGTGCAGTTTGACGAAGGTTTCTTCGGGCAGCTCTAAGCCCAAGGCGAGCAATCTGCACATACGTCAGAAGAAGGACGTTGTTACTCCCATGTTGCGTACCTGAGGATAGGATGGAGGACGTTGTAGTGGTTGTGCTCTGTGAAGGCCCGTAACTCGGGCAGGAAAGGCTGAAGCGCCTTGGGGTGCTGCTGATTGAAGATGAGCCGATGCACTACAGGAGGTCAGTGGTGTTTGATTTCTATTATCCAAGACAATACACACTATTATAGTGCTCTATCTGGTCGCGAACGCCATTGTCGATCGTCTGAGGCGGAGTATTTCTGAGCAACAGAGGGGATCCGTAGTCATATTGCAAAGCTCACCCAGAATTGACGCGGCTTATAGCCCCTATACGAGCCTACTTCCTTGATCTTACCGACGAAGTTGGCCTTCTCTTCGTCTGAGACATGGGACAAGGGAATATCTGCAATGTCGGACATGCGATCATTCTGTACAAGGTGTGTTAGTCCTACTATGTTGCTTACAATTCGACTACACATTTTGAGGATCATACCTCGGCTTGAGTCAGCCCATGATTCACGATATACAAGAATCCATAGGTACGCATGGCCTCGCGAACCAACGGAGCCAGCTCTTGACGTCCCTCGGGGGTTTTAGCCTTAGATATGTCAATGATGGCTAGATCGGCATAGTCCACTGCAAAATATTTCAGCGCTGACAGTGCTCTCGAGTACAGATGGACTCACAGTCTTCTTGCGTCACTGGCGCATGCTGATAATGTGGGACGGGAGGAATGGTTGTGCCAGGCATCTTGGGGAAGCTGTGCGTTCGCCTGTCGCTGTTTCAGGGCTTAAGACTTGTGACGCTAGAGCGGAGAGGGAACAGCAAGTGGGCTCGGGACCTACTTTTAAGTTTAAAGGTCTTCGGGAATGAGACTAATTGCGTGGCTTGGCTGACGTTGGGTTGCACGCAGTACGTTCCGTGAGATCGCGCTCAACCTTCGAGCTCCAACGGTTCCTCAGTATCTTTCCACACCGTGAGTGAACGATGGTACAGAAGCGAGCAGAACAGGACAAGTTCCCGCGACGTTCGCTTCATCGAAGTAGAAGACTACGTCCGCGTAACGTTGAGCGAGACCCTAGTGTACGGCAAATATAGCGAGCGGTGTCCCGATGAATCCGAGACTCAGTTTTGGAGCACCTGATAGTGATAGCAAGAAAAGGGCAAGCCTTGGCTCCTTCGGCACGTATTCGCTATTATCGCTGAGCTTCGGTCCTCGGGCACTCTCTTCCCACCCAACGACAACCCCTGCTCTCGTATCACCCGACGCTATGTAAAAGTACACCTAGTACAAAATCTTCGGCTTAGTTGTACTTCCTTGAAGGAACATGTCGCAACAAGACAATTCAGACTCGACTGCTGGCTTCATGTATGCATGTACATACTCCTAAGTCAGCAACTCTTTCTTCAATTATGTCGACTGTAAGTGACGACCACCTACAATGGGAGGCCGTGTCGTCAACCAGATCCCGACACCTACGCCACATCCTCTTCTTGGACTTGACAAAGCACATTCATCACCATCGGCTATCTAGATGTTCGCAAGTTGTGGACCCCTTCCGTGTTTGTCGGCTTGATAGGATGGGAACGTATACATCGTCTTTTCTCCTTGCTCATGATTCAAGACATTCGTTATGTATGGCACATTGAATGTTCCCTCAACGCTGCAGCGGAATTTATCTGTACCGCACCCCTTCGCCACGTAATTGTGACCACACCGGATATAGCTCCTAGCACATGCCACAGAGTACTTATGCGTACTTACCTGTTGATCCCTTCTATCATGCCCTGTTGTCATACACCTGAATCGCGACTCACCGTCCTTCCGACAAAAATGAATTATAGCGGCTACTGGTTGCCAGTATTAATCTACTCACAGCTACATCATATGAAGTCCCTTGTATTTATCACAGCCTACGACGCTTCCGTCTCATGCTTCCGATGATAAAATGACCGCTACTGCTACTACAGCGTCTCTCCCCCCTGGAGGACCATCAGACACGGGATGCATAAGATGGTGAGACTACATACCTGCTAAACGTGACGAAGGACGTCAAAGGCGTCGAGACAGGGCTACCATGTACGGAACGCCACTTACAATCTTCACCATCTCCCAGTATCCGAGACACAAGGGCACGAAAGCCTTAGCTTCGAAGATTCCGGACGCAGGGATAACAATACGGGAAGAGGCGCGGGAGGGGGAGGTGATAGGGAGACATTAGCGGTAGTGGAACAAAAACTTGGTCAGGCGAGCCAACGGGCGCTTGAAGAGACGGAAGGGAGACCGGGCGGCTCCGTAGGATCATGGTATCGTTGAGCATCGCTCGCCCATGGTACGGGATCAGCATCGGTCCTGCCCAATTTCAGGTCCTGCCCAATTTCACAAGAAATCGGAGTAGGGAGGGGGCAGGGTAGATCCCACGGAGTCGCGCCGGCCATCAGGGTCATTGTCGAGAACGTCCCCCGCTCGCCCACCAGCAAGGCGGACACCTCCGTCCGTCTCGTGCCTTCTCATGCCCTCGGTATGCGTGTTAGCCCGATTACTCGAGGCTCCACTATCCGTCTCCGCGGGATCTTGTACAGGTCCGGCGATGCGGTGTGTGCTATTAGCGTGTTTCTCTGACATTATCGGCGCCATGCTGGTCGAGGGCTCCAGAGGAACTAACACGCCAAGACCCGATACTGCTTGAGGAACGAGGGAACCTGTCGTAATAACTGATTGAGAATGGCTTCTTGCATACCTGAATGTGGATTTGGGGACCTACCATCGTTGTCCGAGAGACTCTCAATGACCAATGTAGCAAGTGACTGGGTCCGCCGGTTTGGTTGAAGTGGGAAGGGCAAGGACAGGGGCCGGATCTCCTCCGTCGCGGTTTCAAGATCTAGCACAAACCCAAGGCGGTCATCTTAGCATGAGCACACTAAACGTCTGCGATATATGCTCGTACCTGGAGTCGCTCCCCCAACTAACCGCGTTGGGCGACGTCTCCTGCGGCGTATCCATACGAACAGGACGGCGCAAGCAATAGCAAGTGAGACAGCTCCCACAGCGATGCCTGCAGTCGTGCCTGTTCTCATCCCTGGATGAGATACGGGAGCATGGACAGGTATGGAGTTGGGGTGCGTTTGAACAGGAGCGGAAGACGTCTACAACAAAGGTAGGCTAATGTGAATGAACAGCTACCAATGGGAGTAAAGGGACATACCAAAGATGGCCCGCTCGTTGATAGCGGCGAGGCGGTAGGGCCGAAGGGATTGGTTGTCGTAGTAGAGGTGGTGTTGGAATGCACGTCAGAAGCTGGTTTGATATTGTCGCTGGTAACGATACTAGAAGGAGTGTTTGAAGGAGTGCTGGAAGGAGTGCTGGAAGGAATGCTGATAGGAGTGCCGGAAGGAGTAGGAGGAGATATCGCCAGGTGTATGGTGTAAGGTGAATAGTAGACATCGGAGATAATGAGTGTCGGTAGCGGTTTGATGGAGAGCAGGTGCGTAGGTATGCCAGTGGGTAGGAGGGTGAACAAGGAAATGCCAAAACCCGTCACTAAAATGGTGGTTGCAGGGTGACCCGATGGTTGATCTGTACAGATGTTATAGCCATCTGCAGAATCAGCACCACACCTCATAGGTATACAACCCCATATAGCCTCATCGCCGTCACCTTGTGCACACTGCACATACTCCATAGGATGGGAACCCGGATCCCGTAGGAGATGCGGGGGTAGATAGAGCAAAACTTTTGCAAATGCGCGGTGTGTAACCTTTATACCATGGCATGGGTATCGCGCGGTTCCTAGGCATTTTGACAGAACTCAATCAGGGCAATATTTCAGCGGTGCTGCTTCGTACAGACGCCTCAACTTATACCCATCGCAGAAGACGGCCATGTGCCTAGGTGTCCCAAAGAACAGAAAATCAACAATGCATAGAGAACCTGGACGGATGGTTTGACGAACCGGATGAACACCGACAACCCGCTCCCTTGCTCTCTTGCTCTCGATGAAGGCCAGGACTGGTGAACCAATTCACTCCAAAAGTTCGAGATCGGCCTGCCTGCGCCCACGCTGTCAGCCTCGGTGCCGATGTCTGACATATCCGACATACAGGCAACAATGACGTCAGCATGTCATCCACGCTCGCTCTCTAACTACGATCGCATCCACACTGCCACGTCCATGCCCCAAGGAACGACCATCAGCTTCCGAAACTGATCTTGTTTCTTCTAGGTGCAAAGTAGAAAACCCTCAACACGCACCTCAAGGAGCTTCCTCTCGAGATGAGACGGGCAGCCCCTCTCCCTCTCCATCCGACCTTCCATGCCCCAAACGTTGCCCTTGCCGCTGACTCCGACCGACCGACTGTTGACCAACCTCTCTTCCCACGCCCGTCATGCCGTCTCCGCGGTCTTCGCGCTGCGCAGATCTCACAGCCGCGCTACTCCGTCGCACACACCCGTTACAGTTAGTGTCTCCTTCCTGTTCTCGCCGCAGGTAGGGCTATGCACGAGGAAGTGGCAAGATCAAGGAGGGAGGCCGGAGAGCGTCGTAGCGGAAGACGTTGACATCGCCGCGTGGAGGCCATATGGGAACGCGGTGCGGGGCGTCTCGGCAGCAAGGGCCCTCGGAGCGTCTGCGGACCGCGCGAGGTAGAGCGGGGACTCGGAGGGGGCGATCTTGCAACGCATACAGTGAGTGTGTCCGCGTATGCTTCATGCAGATCGAGGCAAAGAGGCGGCTCATCGCTGCACTGTCGAGTCGAACCCGCAGCTCCGCGTCTTGCTGATGATACAGGGCGATGTGGAGGCGCAGAAACAAGAGGGTCCTCGTTTTCGAAGGGCCAGCGTCGGGGGAGAGGTCGAAAACGCGTTAGACGGGCTGTGAGGTCGTGCGACGTGCTGCAGGAATAGGCGACTCGAGAGCATCAGAAGAGAGTACGACGGATATGCAGGCGGGATGGGAGGAAGACGGTGGCGGTGTAGAGGAGCTCTAGAGGGCGGTCGGGGACACAGAGTGTGCCATCAGCCAAAGGGAAGTATCTGACAGCACGCAGTCAGCGTGCACAATGGAACAAAGAAAGCATACTATATGCGCTTGTACCATCATCATACTTATCTACAGTCATGTTAGCAGACGCTCGGAGACCAGTCCTTTCAACGATTAGCGGTCGTCTGGCAGGTGCATAGTCAAGCATAGCTCAGCCTGTCGACCGAGGCAGGGCTCACCGCAAGAAACGTACAGTACAAGGTAGATGCATCTGCGCACCGTTCAACGAGGCTACAAGTTGGACGACGTGAGGATGCGAAGATGCCTTTGGAGGGATGGAATACGAGGGCAAAAAGTGGCGAAGCCGGTGCTGAACTCATTCTGTCGCTTGTCCCGTCAAGTGTCCAGCCTCCGCCGTGTGGTTCGCTTGGAAAGGCAGTAGGGACACATGTAATTGGGATGGCGACAGGCACGAGGATCGGACATGATAACAAGGATACTTAGTCTTCGTGAAGGGGGCTGAACACCCGCTGAAGCAGCAAAACCGACCCAAAGAACTCAATCTCAGGAGTCTCCTCCTACGTGACACGTTGTCAAACGTCATGAAGTGGACGTACGGCAAATTTAAGCGCACCTCTCCAACATCCCTCTCGATACAACCCCGCGGACGTCCAGAGTAGGTACTCAAATGGGATGGGCTTGGGGAATGAGAGCGCGGCCTTCAGGTTGTTGACAGGCAACTGGGAGAGCTATATGTCGCTTCCATGCCATCGGGATCTACGGGCTCTGTGATGTCAGGGGTATAAGGCGCAGCCGACCTTGACACAATGCTAGTGGCGTAGACGGAGTGGAATTTCTCGAGCGGGGAGGACGCAAGACAAGGAGCGACTGGCCCGAGCGAGAGGAGATCCGAGGCAGTCACACGTTGACGCGTTCGTCACAGGCGCCGTCACGAGGACGCGTCAAGATCAGCAGCTTCGGTCCTCGGGCACTGTCTTCCCGCCGGACGACCGGTGTATGTCCGCGGCCCGACGCGCAACCTGCCCCGCATCTCGCGACATATTACCCCGCGCTCTCCCCCCTCTCCGACTCTCGTACCACTCAACCCCTTGAACGAGTGCTCCCACTGAACGAACATGTCCCAGCAATACGATCTCGCCTCCGCTGTCGGCTTCCAGGACGACGACCAGCCCGTACGTCAAACCGTGTCCAACGATGAGCATGCTCCTGACCCAGCGAGTCTCTCTCCGATAGGTGTCCTGGAACCAGAGGGACATCCTCATCTACGGCGTAGGTATTGGCGCGAAGCGTGATGACTTCGCCATCATCAACGGTGCGTCTGTACAACCTCGCCGTCGTTTACCAGCTCCTAACCCTCATCCTCCCATCCTCGCCAGAGCTCGGTATGTTCCTTACCATGGTTCCATGAGGACATAGCCCTTATTTGCTATCTAGACAAGTCGTGGACTCCTTTCCCCACCTACCCCGTTGTCCTCCCTTTTAAAGGTCTGTCTTCTTTCCCTCATGCTCGCAGTACCACTCTTACTCATACCGGTCTCCTTCCTCTCGCTTTCCAGGCACGAGCCAGGATGTCGTCAACTTCCGTCAGCTCATGACCGGCGGCAAGCGCGCTCCCGGCCTCCCCAAATTCGATCCCAACCGTGGCGTAAGTTCTCCGCAAAGTCTCCGTCGCGGTCAGGAACTGACTACCTCCTATGCTAGGTGCACGGCAGCCAGTCAATTGAGATCCTTAAGCCTCTCCCCGCCGTAAGCGGCCCCGGCTGGAAGGTCAAGAAGCGGGTTGTCGGAGTGAGCGAGAACAGTACGCCCCGCAGTCTTCCGCCATGACGCGCACTCGCTGACTTGGCATGCGCAGAGTCGGGCATCATCCTCGAGAACGAGTCTACGCTTGTAGACCCTCATGGCACGGTCTACGCCAAGCTCTTCGTGAGTCCCTTCCCTGCCTCCCTCTCTCGAACACCGCCCGCGCGCCGTGCGCACGCCTCCTGTAGTGTCATTCGCCCTCGACACAACCCATCTGACCCGCCCGACCGCAGAGCGGCTCCTTCAACCTCGGCGCCAAGGCGACCGGCACCAACTTCTCCAAGCGCATCGCCGGCCCCCCGCAGGCGAAGCAGCCCCCCAAGGACCGCAAGCCCGACTGGATCGTCCGCGACCAGACGACGCCCGAGCAGGCCGTCCTCTACCGCCTCAGCGGCGACTACAACGAGCTCCATATCAGTGCGTGCCCCTCCCCTCTCTTCCCCTCCCATCCTCCTCCCGTTCTCCCGCACGTACCCACGCTGACCCCCCCCCCCGNGCACTTGCAGACCCCGCGATCGGCCAAGCCGCGGGCTTTGGGGGCGTGATCCTGCACGGGCTCTCTACGTTCGGTTTCGGCGCGCGCGCGGTC